TAATCCCCCTAACGTGTCTCTTGTTAGCCCCATTCCCCATGTTCAGCCTTTAAATAGTTTTTCTTGGCTTGATGACATGGCTGACATGCATCGATTTGATCATTATGTAGTGCGAGGTGGGAATACAAGTACTCCATCACCGTCTCCTTCCCCAGCAGTTCAATCAAGCAAGATGACTGAGTCTCCTGGTGACCGCTCATATAACGACTGTCAGCCCATTTATGTTGTGGATCCTGTAGATGAGGGCAAACTGAATTCTTTCTGGACGACAAGTGTTATGGGCCCAAGAACTGTGTGTTGGATTTTCGTTGGCACAAGGATGATGAAAGGCTGGATCTGGCCATTGTTGGGCAGAAGTTCTACGGTTTTGGGGAGGGTTACAAGTTGGTTCTCCCCGCTGATGGTGCGAAGTTATCGGCTCCCCCTGCAGGTCATATTGCTGTTTTTGCCTCGTAGCTAGATTTAGGTTTGAGGTTTCCTTTGGACCCCACCTTAGAGAAGTTGCTTCGTGCTATCAATATTTGTATCTCTCTGGTGCACCTGCTTCCCTTCACACCCTGATTTGCCTACTGTGGTTTCTAAGGTTTCGAAGGTATCCTGAGTCCCTGCACTTGTTCAAGTCTCTCATGAGCCTGAAGAGGTCTGCTTCTAGGATTGAGTCGGGGTGATACTATGTTGCTCCCAAGGAGAGTAGGGTTTTGTCCTACCCAAAACTTGGAAGTTTCAGGGACTGGACTGGCAAGTTCTTCTGGGTGAGGGTGCCTTCCAACTTTGCTGCCCCGCGCAACTTCAGAGAGATTCGTACCAACATGGTCGGGGTCACAGTTTCTCCCTCTGAGCCTGATCGTGAGATAAAAGCTTTTGAGGCTCTGCAGGGAGCGGGGACTGGTGATTCCAAGTTTCTTAAGGTCTAGCTGCCCAACTCCATCTACATTGTGGGCAATGAACAACTCTCTGCCATGCGTTTGTGCTGTACGCATGAGTCTGGTAAGTTTTTCTGCCTTCAGCCTTTCCTTTTCCTTCCTCGTCTTATTTAACTTTTCTTCTGTTTTGTTTTTCATGCTATGACAAGTTGGACAAGCGTATGCTCAAGCTGGCTGATAATCGGAAGGACCCTTTGACCGCCACTCATGAGAATCCTCCTCAACTTTTTGATACGCAGGAGGTGTTTGCAGGCTCTCTCAAGGGTGAGGTGCGCCTGGCTCCTGCTGAACTGCGGGTTGTTGTTGCCACAACAGCTACTGGTGAGCGTGCTGGGTCCAGCCGTGCTGAGCCTGAGCCTTCGTCCACTACTGTTGGGAGTAGGCGTGAGACTCGCCCTGCTCCTCGAAAGGAGGCTTCAGATTCTGAGGCGTTAGTGGCGCCTGCTGCTTCTCCCGAGAAGCAGTCTGTTGCGGCTTCCGGCCAGGTGGCACCTCAGACCTCTGCTGCCAAAAGGCAACGTGACCAAGCTTCTGATGAACCAAAGGCTACTGCCGACGATTTTGCTGACAGTGTTATCCAGTTTCCCTCTGAGGGGATTGAGACTACTGCTGCGGGCGAAAAACCTGTTTCTTCTACTAGGCATGTTATGCTCTTTCCTTCTTCTATTGATGATACTCGCTGCGAAGGATACTACTGTTCCTTCTGCTGCAGCCGTTGATTTTCAGCTCTCTAATGAGTCTATCATGGATCTTCCTAGATTTCCGCCGCGTCCCTATGAGCTAAGAGGGCGGCTCCGAAGCGCTTCACAGGGTGGGCTCTCCCGAGCAGGGGGTTCTCACCAGCAAGATCATCCAGTGATTGACTTGGAGGACGATCCAATGTCTTCTGCCCCTACCAGAGATGAGACAGAGGCGAAAAAGGCTCACACTTCTCCTGATCTTGACCCTCTTGCCTCCGCATTTGCCAACACTGGGCTTCCAGGTGGGAACGCTGGTGGGGAAGACACTTAGAACTCTAGTGAACTTCACCGCTGTGTTCACCAGTTCTTAAGCGATGCCTTTGAAAATCCTTTATCTTCGACCTCACTTTCTGCTGGAGGGACTTTCCACCCCACTGGGGCTATTGAGTTTGCTGAGGTTCCTATTGATGTTCATCTCCGCCCCATACTCTGTCCTGCTGGAGATGAGAACGCTCCTTTTTGGCCCTTAATGAATGTGAGGGCTGACGAATCTTTGTTTGTGGACGACCCTCTGAAGGGTGGTACCTTAGGGTACCGTTTGACTGAGGGGGTTCGTCTTCCTGCGGATTCTACGCGTAGCTCAATTAGCCTCCCAGCTGCTACGGCCTGCCATGAAATGCAGAAGGTTAGTTTCTGCTTTCGGTCTTTCTTTTTCTTGTTTCAGCCTTTCTTTTCTTCTCTGCTTATTTTGTTGCTACTGCTTTATTTTACTTTTATTTTATTTTGTTAACTTCTTTTGTTAACTCTCGCTTTTGCTCACCCTTCTCTTCCTCTGCTTTTCTTGCAGCTGGTTATGTCTGTGGGAGATTTGTCCAACGCTCTGCTGTCAGTGGAGAAGGAGTATCAGAATTAGGGCATAATTCTCTCTCAGAAGAATTTGGAGGTCCAGCGAGCTCAGGCTGAGAGGGATGCCATGGCCAGTGAGATGACTCCGCTGAGGGAGAGGGTGAATGCCCTGCAGCTCCAGTTAGGAGAATTTTAGCTCACTCTGACCAAGTTGAAGAGCTGCGAGGAACAGTTTGGGGATCTCTTAGGCCAGGGTGAAGACGTTGAAGGCGGAAATGGCAGATCTATGAGCTGCGCATACTGTTGAGCTGGAAGCGGCTAGGAAAGAGGCTCTCAGATCCTTTGCGCTCTCTCCTGCTTTTTCTAAGCTATTGGTTGATCGCCATGATGGTGGATGGGAGGCTGCGGCTCGCTGCGTTAGCAGATTATATGGGGAAGGTGAGGAGTACCAGGCTCGCTTCAACACTTTCTAGGCTAAGGTTGAAGCTGCAGGTGAGGCTGGCTTGTTTGACCTCTCTGGTTATCATCCTCGTGCTGCTGGCTACAAGATTCCCAACCAAGTTGTGCTGAACTTGGAGGTGCATCTCTGCCCTGACGTTGCTGCAGCTATCGGAGTGGAGTCCTTGACTGGTGATCAATAAAGGTAATGGCGGCTGTCACCCTCCTACTCCAACGGTTCCTCTAAGTTTCCCTCACCCAGATCTGTTGTAACTAGGTAGTTTTTGTTACTATCTTTGGGGTGTATAGCTGCTAAAGATTATGTATCTCTGTGTAATTCCTGAATACTTTGTCTTTTGTTGCCGGGTCTGCCCAGCTTAACTTGAATTTGCGTTCTCCTAACTTTACCTGTTGAGTGTTTCCTTATCCTGGTGAACGAGGGCTCGGCTTCATATGTCCCGCGACTGTCTTGCTGAATGTTTACTCTGCGTTGGGGGGCAGGGGTTCAACTTTATAATGTATGCTTTTTATGATCTTCTTCTGCTGCTTCGCCTACTATTTATTTTATTGTTTGCATATTGGCCTGGAACTATGCTTTTCTTAGTAGTATCCAGATCTTTTAGTCCTGCAGCATTTTTATTGCATTCGGTGGGGCCTCGTAGGTTAAGCCTCCCTGCTGAGACTTATTTGTGTTGATCAGCTTACTTATGTTGCGACTTGTCATTTTGTGAGTTGTCATTCATCTTGTTTTGCTGTGACTTATTTATGTCGTTCAGCTTGTTTATGCTGCGACTTTGTCATTTTGTGAGTTGTCATTCAGCTTGTTTTGTTGTGACTTATTTATGTCGTTCAGCTTGTTTATGCTGCGACTTTGTCATTTTTTAAGTTGTCATCAGCTTGTTTTGCTGTGACTTATTTATGTCGTTCAGCTTGTTTATGCTGCGACTTTGTCTTTTTATGCCTACTTACTTCTTTTCGTAAGGGCTTTATTGTCTGGTTGTCTTCTCCTTTCCTCTCCCCCTCAAAGAGATGAGCTAAGTGGGACTAAGAGAGCCTTAGTGTTGCCCACATAACTCATCTTCTTCTTTTCCCCTTTTCTCTCCTGCTCAAGCTGAACATCCCCGAGGTGGTGCCCTGTTTTGCTGTGAGCAAGTGAGGTGAAGTTTTACAGAGGGATGCGTTTGCTTTGCCACTTTGCGCTAATGTGCTTCTTGCCTCTAACACTTTGTTATTGTCTTTATTTGACTTCTGCATGTTAGCATATGATGCTTGGGCATAACATATTAAACAAATTTACGCAGCATACTCCTCACGTAAAGGCTTGTATTTCATTTAATAAAAATGGCTCAAATGCCTTAATTAACATAACATGGACTGAATAAAAGTTTATCAGACTTGAAACAACTATGTTTGTTTTTTCAGACTGTTTAAACAAAATACTTCTTTAACCCACATCCACATTGAAACTGTTTCTTAAGACATGACCTTCTTGATCTGTAAGGAGGAACGCTCCTGGTCCAACTTGCTCGTGAATGATGAAAGGGCCTTCCCAGTTTGCTGATAGCTTTCCATGCTGATTTCCTCTTCCCACTGCTGTTGTCCTTCTAAGGACTAAGTCACCGGGCAGGAGCTCCCTATGCTTGACCCTCTTGTTGAAAGATTTTGAAATCCTGCTCTTCCGGGCTGCCAACTTGAGAGCTGCTTTCAGCCTTACTTCTGGCAGGAAGTTTAGCTCTTCCAGCATACGCTTTTCATTTCCTTGCTGTTCATAGTGTTGTATCCTCAGGCTGGGGATTTGTACTTCCAATAGGACAACTGTTTCAGCCCCGTAGGCCAAGGTGAAGGGGCTCTTACCGGTTGACTCCTTCTCAGTGGTCCTTTTTGCCCACAAGACCTCTAGGACTAGGTCTGCCCACATGCCTTTGTACTCCTCCAGCTTCTTCGGCAGGGCTGTCAGGATCAGCTTGTTTGCTGCTTCTGCTTGACCATTGCTCTGCGGGTGGCAGACTGAGGCACTTACATACTTTGTGCCCATGTCCCCCAAGTAGTCCATTATGGTGTCACAGTCAAATTGACACCCGTGATCAAAGACTATACACTGTGGCACCCCGAATCATGTGATGATGCTTTTCCATATGAATGTCCTGACTTGGGCTGCCTTTATGTACTTAGTCGGTTCGACTTCTATCCACTTTGTAAAGTAATCTATCGCCACAATGAGATACTTCCTGCCCGCTGACCCAGTGGTGAAAGGTCCCAATATGTCCATTCCCCACTGAGCAAACGGGATCGGGCTGAGGATTGAAGTTAGATCGTTTGCTGGCTGATTTATGACTAGTGAATACTTTTGACACTTGTCGCACTTTTTTACATATGCTAGTGCATCTTGTGCGAGAGTTGGCCAATATGCCCCCCTTATGAGGACCTCTACTCCTAATGCTTTTCCACTAATGTGGTTGGCGCATATTCCGAAGTGGGCTTCTTCCATAATGTCCTCCTGCTCCCACTCTAGAATACACCTCAGTAGTGGTTTTGAGAAGCCCTTTTTGTTAAGTTCCCCGTTCATCACTACATACCAGTTGGCGTCTTTCATCACCTTCTTAGCTTGTACTTCATCATCGGGCAGTGAGCCGTGGACTTTATACGCCAAGATGTCTGAGAACCAGGCTCTCTGCCTTTCAACGCAGTTTACCTGCTCTTTTTCGGCAATGCTGCTTTCTTCTAGTACTTCAACCATCACCGTCCTTGTTAGGATTTGTAAAGTGGAGCTAGCTAACTTGGACAAGGCGTCGGCCTGAGAGTTTCCTGCTCTGGGGACCAAGTCTATCTGGAAGTGGACTAGCTGGGCTGCCAGTTCCTTTACCTTGATTACGTACTTCAGCATGGTGGCTTCCCTTATCTCATACGCCCCCTGTAGGTTGCTAGCGACGAGCTGAGAATCAGTTTGCAGGTGTACTTTACGGGCTCCGGCTGCGAGGCTCATACGCAGGCCTGCCAGTGCCGCTTCGTACTCAGCTTCGTTATTCGATGCTTTGAACTTGAACTTTATGGCATACTCGAATACGTTTCCTTCTGGAGATGTCATTATGACTCCTGCTCCACTCCCCGTTTGGGCCGAGGACCTATCCACTTCCACCTTCCAGACCCCAATATCATCTTCTTTCTCCTCGTAGGAAGCTTCCACTATGAAGTCTGCTAAAGCTTGTGCCTTGATGGCTGCTCTAGGTTTGACCTCGAATTCGTACTCAGAAAGCTCAATTGCCCATTTTAAGAGTCTGCCCGATGCATCCATTTTTTGTAAAGCTTTCTCCAACGGGTGGTTTATGAGGACTTCTATTACATGCGCGTCAAAATATGGCTTTAACTTCCTTGCTGCTGTGACCACTGCGAAGGCTAGCTTCTCTACCAATGGGTACCTTTGCTTTGCCTCGGTCAGCACGTGGCTCACAAAGTATATTGGCCTTTGTTGCTTTTGTCTTTCTACCAACAAAACGGCTGCGATTGTCTTTATTGACGCAGAGATGTACAACTGCAGCTTTTCCCTCAGCTCCGGGCTGATCATTGTTGGGAGCTTAGTCAGATGCTCCTTAATACCCTCAAAGGCTTCTTTCTCTTTAGCCCACACTTAAATTCTCTGTTCCCTTTCAATACTTGATAGAACGACAGGGCCTTATCCACTGACTTGCTGATGAACCTGGTTAGCGCGACCATTCTGCATGTCAACCGCATGATATCCTTGATGCACTTAGGCTCAGGCAGGCTGAGGACTTTCCCGACCACCTTTTTTGGATTGGCATCTATCTCTCTCTCACTGATCAGAAAACCCAAGAACTTTCCCGAGCTCACCCCAAAGACACATTTCTTCGGGTTGAGTTTGATTTTATATTTGTTCGGGGTGGCAAATGTTTCCTCAAGATCCATGATATGTCCAGCCTGCGTGATGCTCTTAACGATTGAGTTGTCAACGTATACTTCAAAATTTTTACCCTTCTGGTGAAGGAATACTCTATCCATTGCCTTCTGAAAAGTTGCCCCAGCATTCTTCAGCCCGAAGGGCATAGCTATGTAATTATACACTCCCCCTTCAGTGATGAATGCAGTTTTCTGCCTGTCTGGCTTATGCAGGCCGATCTGATGGTACCCTAAAAAGGCGTCCATGAATCTTAGCAGGGCATGCCCGGTGGTTGAGTTTACCAGCTGATCTCTCCGCGGCAGCGGGTAACAGTCCTTCGGGCAGGCCTTATTAAGATCAGTGAAATCGACACACATTCTCCACTGGCCATTTGCTTTCTTTACCATGACCATGTTGGCTAACCACTCTGGGTAGTCACAAGGTTCAATGAATCCTGCTTCCAGGAGCTTCTCCACCTCCTCCTGGATTGCTTGATTTTTTCCGTGGAGAAGTTCGCTTTTTCTGCCTAACTGGCTTAATATCCTCCTTCACATTTAGCCTGTGCACCCTGACTGTTGGGTCGATTCCGGGCATCTTATCTGCGGAAAATGCGAAAACGTCTTTGTTCTTCCTTAGGAGCTCTATGAGGTGTACCCCTACTCCGGGATCAATGTCTTTCCCAATTTTCACCGTCCTTGAGAGGTCACCCTCTGTAAGCTCGACTGTGACATGCTCCCCACTGGGAAGTGGCCTGGCCATTTCTTCTTTTACAGGCTCGAAGCTGTCCATTGCTAACTTCTGCTTATCCTTTTCCATGTGATATTCTTCACGCTTCCTTTTCCTCGACTTCCTCTCAGGTTGTTCAGCGGGCCTTCTCTTAGGACCAGGCTGATGTCTAGTTTTTGCGGGCTGCTTTAGAGCGGTTATGTAACATTGCTAGGCTGTCTTCTGACTTCCCCTGAGCTTTGTCGACCGTCCCTCATTAGTTGTGTAGGCCATGGCAAGGTGATAGGTGGATACCACCCCACCTATTTTGTGGATGAGCGGTCTTCCTATGATCACATTGTAGGGTGAAAGGGAGTTTATCACGAGGAACTCTGCCCGGACATCACGCCTTCTTGATCTTTCCCCTACTCGGACTGAGAGTTCGATTATACCTTCCGGGGTAAGCCCTGATCCATTAAACCTGGTGACTTCGTAGCTCACCCTCTTCAGGTCTTTTCTGTCCAACTTCAGCTCGTTGAACGCACTGATGTATATGATGTTGGTTGAGATGCCTTCGTCTATCAGTATTCTATCTACCTCCCGGTTTGCGATTCTCATTGTCACCACCAGCGGGTCATCATGGGGGTAAATTATGCCCTTCTAGTCATACTCGTCAAACGTGGCCTGCGGCTGCGGGGGAAGAGGTGGCCATCTACACTTATCATTGTCATTTATTTGATGTACCATCGCCCGTAGGTCAGCCCGCGCTCTGTTGACTGTTCCCCCATGTACTGGGCCCCCATTGATCACATACACCCTGCCTTCTGGCTTGCCATCTATGTCTCTGTCTCCGGCTGGGCCCTTATGACCTCCTTTGCGGTCAAGGCGGCCCGCTCTATCCTTATCCCTCCTTTTGGGAGGGTCATCGCGTTGCTTAAACTGATTCAAGTACCCTCTCCTGACCAAGTCTTCTATGTTGTCCTTCAAATGTGTGCATTTTTCAGTGGTGTGACCATGGTCCCTATGGAAGTTTCACCATTTGCTGGTATCACGGTTTCTGTTAACCATCCTCGGGGGTCTCTGCCACTTGTCATCAACTTTGTTCACGTTGAATATATGAGACCAGGAATGGGTTAACGGGGTATATTGGTGAAACCTCCCATGCCTTGGTCCTCTCATTGGGTTTGACCTTTTCATTTCTACTGCTCTGTCCGCTTCTCTGCGGTTTTGCTCAGCCCTGCTCGGCTGGTCCACCCTGGGCGTGTTCTCTGCCCGAGTGACCTCTGCCCGCTTAATTGAGTCACTAGGTGCTTTCCTACCCAGCATTGCTCTGTCAGTCTCATCTGCTTTGATGAACTCGTGCACTTTGCCTAGCGCTTCAGCAAATGTTTTGAGGCTCTTACGCCCCATATATGCTCTGAACGGTGATCCCGGTAGTAAGCCACTTTGCATTGCTAGTAGCGCTACCTCTTGGCTCATATTTGGGATGGTTGTTGCCTCCTTGTTGAATCTGGTGATGAACTCCCTCAGGGGCTCGTCTTTCCCTTGAACCAACAACATCAGCTCGGTTGTCATCTTAGTTCGGTCTACCAGGGTTATGAAATGCTCCATGAACATTCTCTTCAACTGGCTGTACGAGTATACGGAATATTTGGGAATGGCTCCATACCACTCCGCTGCCAGCCCCTCCAGGGTCGGTGGGAAAGCCTTACACCAGTCTGAGTATGTCATAGTGTAAATACCATGTGGTTCTCAAAAGCTGATATGTGGCTTTTGGGTGTTGTGGTTCCGCTGTATTTGCAGCTTGGCATCTTTATTTTCTCCATTGGTTCCTCCAGCATCTCCTGGAAAAATGGGGAATCATCTAGAACAACCAGGATTTGCGCTCGCTTGTCTCTCTCCAGGCTGGGTTCCCGCTCTGAGGCTGGTGACCTGCTACGGGGAACCCGCTTCTCCGGGCTGATTCGAGCAGGGGCTATTTCCTCCACGCTCTATTCTCGATTCAGGCTACGAGCTTCCAGCTCCAATACCTTCTTCCTTAGTTGAATGAGCTCATTCTGCTCAGGGGTGAGGGTCGTGGACGCCGGCTTTTTCGCTATGGGCTCCGCAGCTGCCGCTGCCGGTGACGGACTTGCCTCCTTACCCATACTGGTGAGGACCGCGGTCATTGCAGCCAACTGCTACTTACTGCAATTAGAGAGGTTCCGCAGAATGGCTGACATATTTACACGCTGCGGTTTCTGGGTTACAGATGCTGAAACAATGATCTCATTGTTCGCACCTGTTAACGACATTCCGTATTTTAAAACGGAACTGGATCCCACCAGATCTACTGGTTTCGCCGCCGCTTTAGCAACAACTGATGTCGATCCGGTGGGGTTGGATTTCTACGAGATGGTCGATTTGAGGTTTCCGGTGGATCCTTTTGGATCAATGGTTATTAGGGGTGTTTTTTGTGGTGTTTGGCTGGTCTCATTAGTTTTAGACATGGGTGTCTGTACAGCTCCTTCTCTGGCCATTGCGGTTAGTTAACTAGTCCGTAGCTCAGATGGTGAACCTCAGGTTAGATGACCCTTCCCCTCCTTCTACCGCCAATTGTTCCAAGTGCGGATCCAACGGTTCTGCTGGGTGAACTGGGTCCCGTCAACTACCTACACAAGGCAGCACACGTAAACTGCCCTCGGGGGTGGCTCGAGGAACCCCCCTCCGAAGCTTAAGTTAGAGAGTGTTTAGAGAGATAAAGTGTACTTAGAAAGATGTAGAAAGTATAATGACTTGATTGTCTTACCCTCTTTCCGTTGTACTTTATCCTCTATTTATAGGCGTACCATCTCCTTCGTGGAGAGTTCAGTCTGGTCAGCCCTGCGGGCTAACTCTGCCGGGCTAGTGAGCCCTCCTTTAATTGCTTTCTCGGCAGTGAGTGCGCACCCTGGGGGCTGGGTGATAGTTCAGCGGGAGCTATCCTATACAAGGTCTATCAAAATAATGGCGTGCAAATTCTTTCAAATTAACCATGCTACCATCTACAATATTTGTTAGATCTTTGTCTCTTAAATTAAAGAAGCGCACAAAATCTTTATAATAATATTCATTTATTCGAGGGATTACTGCAAGATCTAATGTAGGGAAGCCTAAGATAGCACCGAATTCTTCCGGTAAAGGGATAATTTCATAACGCCCTAGTCTAAAACAATGAGTATCCGTATCCCAATATTCTAAGGCAGTATGAATAAAGTTTATATCAAGATCTACCTCCTTAACACCATAGAAACCCCCCATATAAAAAAAGTATAATTCTTTTCTCTCTTTGGCAGTTAAAGACCGACACCATTTATGAGTGAAGTTGGTAAAACTCTTAGTAATTAAAGACATGATTTTTTTGTTAAAAGCTAAGACTATGTTTAATCTGCTGAAATTATGAGAAAATTGGCAGACCAGGGGGCTAATATACACAACATCGGCACAGTTTCAATCCGGAAAGGATTCGGAGTCAACGCTCTCCAGCGCCAAACGAAGGTTCTGTCGTCTGGCGCCAATCGCCAGCAGCAGCGCCTGGCGCCAACGCGAAACGCGCAGTGCCACGTGGCGCTGACGTGTCTTATTAACATGCTATTCAAAAACCTCGTCCGTTTTTTTTGCTATGATTTGAACCTGTACAATGGATTTACGATTTTATCCCTTCTTATACCCTTATAAATTTATTTAATATATTAATTTCGGTTTTTTCCTTTTTCGAATTTTATTCAGACTTAATTTTAAGTTTGTGGTAAATCCAATTTTTATTTTTTTTCTTTTTGGGATAGAAAGTCGGATACCCTCCATCAATAATAAAAATGACGGAATTTTTGCGCAAAATTATTTATTATCACAATTCTTTGCACACACAAATATGCAATAAAAATGAAAATTAAATGCAAGATAAATAAAGTCATAATAAATAGATAATAATATGTATATACAAATATGTCTAATAAATGAGTTAATTGGGCAAAGTTCTATACAAGTCAAAATAAAACAAAACACATGTATAAACTATGGCGCTGGAGGACGCAGATGATGAGAGATGCCCATCATATCATAGAACTGCGCAGTGCGAGGAGTATGCTCTCCACTAGCTCCAGCTCCAGTCTCCCCGGGAGGAGGAAAACTCAGCACAAGACCCGTCCACCCAAGGTCACCCTGAGGCTGAGGCTGCGGAGGCTGCTGCAATGACAAGCCAACCTCGTACATCCCACCACCTCTAGGAGCCGAGGTAGCCTCTCCCAGGCCTATCGGCTCAGCACATGCACCCTCAGATGAAGAGCCCAAGCCCTCTGTTTTGGGTGTTTTTGTCCCTAGGGAGAGTTACAACACGAAGACTGATCCGGCGGGAGCTGTACCTGCAAGACAAACGGAGATACCGGTTGGTTGGTGCTCCGCCTCCGACGAACAAGTTAGTAACTTGAAGGGAGAGAAAAAGGTGCGGAAATTTAGGTGGGTATCTGCTCGGATTCCAAGCTCAGATGTCTCTATCACAGGGACTGTATGTAATAATGGTAAAACATGTCCTCAAAAAGAGGGACATCTCCCTATTTATAGGGTCTTTGGGATTTGTGCCCTTGATTAGGTCACTGAACCCTAATCATTGGTGGGCTGCGCCGCTTTGCATCATTCTCGGGATTTGGGCCTGAAGGCCGCCTTTTTTCCCTTAATTTCTGGAGTGACACGTGTCAGGCAGAGATTGGTCCACTTTGGACCAACCTGAAGCTGACACGTGTCGTCCTTTGGTTGGACCACGTGGCGGGGTAAAATTACCCTAAACATTTACCCCTTACAGATGTGACGTGGCACGCCACGTGGCATTTGTGACATGTGTCACGCTCCGATTGGTGGTAATTTTAACATAAAGAATAACCGTTCAACTTTCGAGTAAATTATGGAAATACCCTCGTATTTCCCCTCTATATATAGCCGTTTACCCTCATAAAATTGTACGTTTACAAAAATTTTCTAGAGAGAGAACTTTGAGAGAGCAGAATTCATCCGTTTGAGTCAGGCGCAAGCAAGGAAGCTCGTACTCCATCAACCCTGCCGGACCCGTCCGTTTTCAGATATCAAATCCAAAGGTACCGTCTCTGCCTCTCTCAGCTCTTTTTCTTGTTTCACCGCTTGTACATATTTCTTGCAATAAATGGATGCATCACCAACACACACGGCACAGCCTAGGTTAGAGTCCAGCCGGTCACCTGGGTTGGTTGAGTCTAGGACTGAGAGTGTCGTCTCGGGGTGTTGGGACCACCCTTTGCCTTGGATTCCGACCATTTATGTGTCTGTGCAGGACACAATGGTTCGGACTATGCAGACGACCACTAATCAAAACTTCAGAAGCGAAGGCTCAGGCGGCCAAACGCCTGAGGGAGAAACGTCTAGTCAGGGAGACCCGACGGCTCTGGAGAGATCCCCTCCGCGCGCCCCTTCAACTCCCGCTGATTCCTTTTTGGAAGAGTGCGACCAAGGCGGCGATGAGGCCGTCTTAGCCCCTTTGACCCAAAATGAGGAGGAGACGGAGAGCGACAGCTCCGCCCCTACCTCTGAGAGCAGTGACGATTTACCCCCACTTAAGGATAGCGAGGAGGAAGAAAGGAAGAAGTGGAACGAGAAGGATGATCCCTTCAACATCCACGTCTCCTCCAAGGATCAGATCAAAATGGAGGAGAACTTAAAGAACTTTACGCAAATGCACCCGTTAGGAGACGGGTATAAAATCCGGGTGCCGCTTGAGAATGGCACCATCACCTGGGAGGATGATCAAGAGAACCTCAACAGCTACTTCGGCTGTTATGAGGCGGCGTTCAAGGCTGATCTTCGCTTCCCCCTTCACCAAGCGGTGAAGGCAATACTGAGAGGCTACGGCGTCGGAGTCTGCCAACTTAACCCCAATTCTTGGGCAAACATTCTGGGGTATGTTGCCGCCTGCGAGTTACAGGGGCTAAACCCCGGCTGGGAGGCTTTTGCTAGTATGCATTATCTTAGCAAAAGCCCAGGCGGCTAGAGGGCGTGGTACAATCTAACCACGCATCCCCAATACATGATGACCTTAGACAAGGTCTCAAAATTCGACGGCTGGGAGAATTATGAATTCCGTCAGTACAATAAGAAGCCCGACTTGATGGGCCGGAAGTGCGCTCTTCCGCGGATCCCAGAGGAAGATTTTGACAAGATCATTGAGGCAAACTTTTTCGGCCTCACAGACGCGACCTTGTCAACCGGGGAAACAATAAAAGTCCCCAAGAACTGGATTCCCAAGAGCGCCTGGTTCAGGGACGAGTGTGTCCTAGCCGCCTGCGGGCTAGGACACATGTTTACTAAACGTATGCGCCTGAGTTTATATCCGCATGTAGTGCTTTCGTATCGGAATTGATTTATGATATTGACCAATCTCTCTTTTTTTGCAGAAGAAGCATTAAACATGTTGCAGACGGAGAAGACTCCCAAGCGATCCTCTGCAGTCATCTGCAAGGAGCTTGCGGAAAAATCTGCGGCCGAACTCAAGGCCAAGGTAGAAACGCCTGACCCTTTCTTAGATTGGTCTCAACGATTATTTTCCCCGGATGCTAACTTTAACTTGGTTATTTTCGCAGGGGGGAGAGGTTGGGAAGACGTTTGAGAAAAATCTCAAACGGGCTAGGGAGGAAACCCCCACCGTTCTCAACAAAACCAAAAAGTCCACCTCCGCCTCAACTCTTGGCGCC